GCGAGTTTGCATGGCATCGTATATCAAAGTGCCCTGTAGAGCAATGGGAGCAAGTTTGCATGGCATCGTATATCAAAGTGCCCTGTAGAGCAATGGGAGCGAGTTTGCATGGCATCGTATATCAAACTGCCCTGTAGAGTAATGGGAGCGAGTTTGCATGGCATCGTATATCAAAGTGCCCTGTAGAGCAATGGGAGCGAGTTTGCATGGCATCGTATATCAAACTGCCCTGTAGAGCAATGGGAGCGAGTTTGCATGGCATCGTATATCAAAGTGCCCTGTAGAGCAATGGGAGCAAGTTTGCATGGCATCGTATATCAAACTGCCCTGTAGAGCAATGGGAGCGAGTTTGCATGGCATCGTATATCAAACTGCCCTGTAGAGCAATGGGAGCGAGTTTGCATGGCATCGTATATCAAAGTGCCCTGTAGAGCAATGGGAGCGAGTTTGCATGGCATCGTATATCAAAGTGCCCTGTAGAGCAATGGGAGCGAGTTTGCATGGCATCGTATATCAAAGTGCCCTGTAGAGCAATGAGAGCGAGTTTGCATGGCATCGTATATCAAAGTGCCCTGTAGAGCAATGGGAGCGAGTTTGCATGGCATCGTATATCAAAGTGCCCTGTAGAGCAATGGTCAGCGAGTTTGCATGGCATCGTATATCAAACGGCCCTGTAGAGCAATGGGAGCGAGTTTGCATGGCATCGTATATCAAAGTGCCCTGTAGAGCAATGGTCAGCGAGTTTGCATGGCATCGTATATCAAACTGCCCTGTAGAGCAATGGGAGCGAGTTTGCATGGCATCGTATATCAAAGTGCCCTGTAGAGCAATGGGAGCGAGTTTGCATGGCATCGTATATCAAAGTGCCCTGTAGAGCAATGGGAGCGAGTTTGCATGGCATCGTATATCAAAGTGCCCTGTAGAGCAATGGGAGCGAGTTTGCATGGCATCGTATATCAAAGTGCCCTGTAGAGCAATGGTCAGCGAGTTTGCATGGCCTCGTATATCAAAGTGCCCTGTAGAGCAATGGGAGCGAGTTTGCATGGCATCGTATATTAAAGTGCCCTGTAGAGCAATGGGAGCGAGTTTGCATGGCATCGTATATCAAAGTGCCCTGTAGAGCAATGGGAGCGAGTTTGCATGGCATCGTATATCAAAGTGCCCTGTAGAGCAATGGGAGGGAGTTTGCATGGCATCGTATATCAAACTGCCCTGTAGAGCAATGGGAGCGAGTTTGCATGGCATCGTATATCAAACTGCCCTGTAGAGCAATGGGAGCGAGTTTGCATGGCATCGTATATCAAAGTGCCCTGTAGAGCAATGGGAGCGAGTTTGCATGGCATCGTATATCAAAGTGCCCTGTAGAGCAATGGTCAGCGAGTTTGCATGGCATCGTATATCAAAGTGCCCTGTAGAGCAATGGGAGCGAGTTTGCATGGCATCGTATATCAAAGTGCCCTGTAGAGCAATGGTCAGCGAGTTTGCATGGCATCGTATATCAAACTGCCCTGTAGAGCAATGGGAGCGAGTTTGCATGGCATCGTATATCAAAGTGCCCTGTAGAGCAATGCGAGCGAGTTTGCATGGCATCGTATATCAAAGTGCCCTGTAGAGCAATGGGAGCGAGTTTGCATGGCATCGTATATCAAACTGCCCTGTAGAGTAATGGGAGCGAGTTTGCATGGCATCGTATATCAAAGTGCCCTGTAGAGCAATGGGAGCGAGTTTGCATGGCATCGTATATCAAACTGCCCTGTAGAGCAATGGGAGCGAGTTTGCATGGCATCGTATATCAAAGTGCCCTGTAGAGCAATGAGAGCGAGTTTGCATGGCATCGTATATCAAAGTGCCCTGTAGAGCAATGAGAGCGAGTTTGCATGGCATCGTATATCAAAGTGCCCTGTAGAGCAATGGGAGCAAGTTTGCATGGCATCGTATATCAAAGTGCCCTGTAGAGCAATGGGAGCGAGTTTGCATGGCATCGTATATCAAACTGCCCTGTAGAGTAATGGGAGCGAGTTTGCATGGCATCGTATATCAAAGTGCCCTGTAGAGCAATGGGAGCGAGTTTGCATGGCATCGTATATCAAACTGCCCTGTAGAGCAATGGGAGCGAGTTTGCATGGCATCGTATATCAAAGTGCCCTGTAGAGCAATGGGAGCGAGTTTGCATGGCATCGTATATCAAAGTGCCCTGTAGAGCAATGGGAGCGAGTTTGCATGGCATCGTATATCAAAGTGCCCTGTAGAGCAATGAGAGCGAGTTTGCATGGCATCGTATATCAAACTGCCCTGTAGAGCAATGGTCAGCGAGTTTGCATGGCATCGTATATCAAACTGCCCTGTAGAGCAATGGGAGCGAGTTTGCATGGCATCGTATATCAAAGTGCCCTGTAGAGCAATGGGAGCGAGTTTGCATGGCATCGTATATCAAAGTGCCCTGTAGAGCAATGGGAGCGAGTTTGCATGGCATCGTATATCAAACTGCCCTGTAGAGCAATGGTCAGCGAGTTTGCATGGCATCGTATATCAAACTGCCCTGTAGAGCAATGGTCAGCGAGTTTGCATGGCATCGTATATCAAAGTGCCCTGTAGAGCAATGGGAGCGAGTTTGCATGGCATCGTATATCAAAGTGCCCTGTAGAGCAATGGTCAGCGAGTTTGCATGGCATCGTATATCAAACGGCCCTGTAGAGCAATGGGAGCGAGTTTGCATGGCATCGTATATCAAAGTGCCCTGTAGAGCAATGGGAGCGAGTTTGCATGGCATCGTATATCAAAGTGCCCTGTAGAGCAATGGTCAGCGAGTTTGCATGGCATCGTATATCAAACTGCCCTGTAGAGCAATGCGAGCGAGTTTGCATGGCATCGTATATCAAACTGCCCTGTAGAGCAATGGTCAGCGAGTTTGCATGGCATCGTATATCAAACTGCCCTGTAGAGCAATGGGAGCGAGTTTGCATGGCATCGTATATCAAAGTGCCCTGTAGAGCAATGGGAGCGAGTTTGCATGGCATCGTATATCAAACTGCCCTGTAGAGCAATGGTCAGCGAGTTTGCATGGCATCGTATATCAAACTGCCCTGTAGAGCAATGGGAGCGAGTTTGCATGGCATCGTATATCAAAGTGCCCTGTAGAGCAATGGGAGCGAGTTTGCATGGCATCGTATATCAAAGTGCCCTGTAGAGCAATGGGAGCGAGTTTGCATGGCATCGTATATCAAAGTGCCCTGTAGAGCAATGAGAGCGAGTTTGCATGGCATCGTATATCAAAGTGCCCTGTAGAGCAATGGGAGCGAGTTTGCATGGCATCGTATATCAAAGTGCCCTGTAGAGCAATGGTCAGCGAGTTTGCATGGCATCGTATATCAAACGGCCCTGTAGAGCAATGGGAGCGAGTTTGCATGGCATCGTATATCAAAGTGCCCTGTAGAGCAATGGGAGCGAGTTTGCATGGCATCGTATATCAAAGTGCCCTGTAGAGCAATGGTCAGCGAGTTTGCATGGCATCGTATATCAAACTGCCCTGTAGAGCAATGGTCAGCGAGTTTGCATGGCATCGTATATCAAACTGCCCTGTAGAGCAATGGGAGCGAGTTTGCATGGCATCGTATATCAAAGTGCCCTGTAGAGCAATGGGAGCGAGTTTGCATGGCATCGTATATCAAAGTGCCCTGTAGAGCAATGGGAGCGAGTTTGCATGGCATCGTATATCAAAGTGCCCTGTAGAGCAATGAGAGCGAGTTTGCATGGCATCGTATATCAAAGTGCCCTGTAGAGCAATGGGAGCGAGTTTGCATGGCATCGTATATCAAAGTGCCCTGTAGAGCAATGGTCAGCGAGTTTGCATGGCATCGTATATCAAACGGCCCTGTAGAGCAATGGGAGCGAGTTTGCATGGCATCGTATATCAAAGTGCCCTGTAGAGCAATGGGAGCGAGTTTGCATGGCATCGTATATCAAAGTGCCCTGTAGAGCAATGGTCAGCGAGTTTGCATGGCATCGTATATCAAACTGCCCTGTAGAGCAATGCGAGCGAGTTTGCATGGCATCGTATATCAAAGTGCCCTGTAGAGCAATGGTCAGCGAGTTTGCATGGCATCGTATATCAAAGTGCCCTGTAGAGCAATGGGAGCGAGTTTGCATGGCATCGTATATCAAACTGCCCTGTAGAGCAATGGTCAGCGAGTTTGCATGGCATCGTATATCAAACTGCCCTGTAGAGCAATGGGAGCGAGTTTGCATGGCATCGTATATCAAAGTGCCCTGTAGAGCAATGGGAGCGAGTTTGCATGGCATCGTATATCAAACTGCCCTGTAGAGCAATGGGAGCGAGTTTGCATGGCATCGTATATCAAAGTGCCCTGTAGAGCAATGGGAGCGAGTTTGCATGGCATCGTATATCAAAGTGCCCTGTAGAGCAATGGGAGCGAGTTTGCATGGCATCGTATATCAAAGTGCCCTGTAGAGCAATGGTCAGCGAGTTTGCATGGCATCGTATATCAAACTGCCCTGTAGAGCAATGGGAGCGAGTTTGCATGGCATCGTATATCAAACTGCCCTGTAGAGCAATGGTCAGCGAGTTTGCATGGCATCGTATATCAAACTGCCCTGTAGAGCAATGGGAGCGAGTTTGCATGGCATCGTATATCAAAGTGCCCTGTAGAGCAATGGGAGCGAGTTTGCATGGCATCGTATATCAAAGTGCCCTGTAGAGCAATGGGAGCGAGTTTGCATGGCATCGTATATCAAAGTGCCCTGTAGAGCAATGGGAGCGAGTTTGCATGGCATCGTATATCAAAGTGCCCTGTAGAGCAATGGGAGCGAGTTTGCATGGCATCGTATATCAAACTGCCCTGTAGAGCAATGGTCAGCGAGTTTGCATGGCATCGTATATCAAACTGCCCTGTAGAGCAATGGGAGCGAGTTTGCATGGCATCGTATATCAAAGTGCCCTGTAGAGCAATGGAAGCGAGTTTGCATGGCATCGTATATCAAAGGGCCCTGTAGAGCAATGGTCAGCTCGTTGGACTTCGGATCCAGAGGTTGCAGGTTCGAGTCCTGCCAGGGTCGTTTCATTTTTTGCTTTTTCTCGAATTGTTGGGAGCTTCGAGCGCGCTTTGCTCGCTCATCCGTGTCGATCGTCGATCGTATCGCAGGTCATTTGTCTAGCACCTGTCCTGAAGATGCATAGCGGCGAGCTAGCAAATCGAAATCAGTGCTGTGAGGATAACATCTGCGTCTATAGTGTCCCATAACAGGTATAACGTTGACGGGAAGCAGGAGTGGAACGAGCAGTCTAAATCAAGAATGCCCGACCACAAGAAGGTCGGGTGTGCAAACCAGCAATTGTCGTACTCCGCCCTCTAGCAAGAATGGCCTAAACATTTACAATGTTTCCAAGTGCCCGAGTTTGCTCGTTGTCGTGAAGAATTGATGCAAGCGCGGCAACAAGCATTGTATTGATCCTTCCAAAAAACCAATCAATGCACCGAAATTGCTCACGATCCCTTAACCGGTATACACTCTTTGGATTAAAATGAACAACATCATCATTGTGCTTATAACAAGCGAGTACCTTAGTTGCTAGCGATCGCATTCTTTTCCAAATTCGTCTTGTGCTTGACAAACAAACCAGGCATTCTGGAACTTACATTAGCGAACGCGAATGAGAAGGCGACACGCATAGCTCCCAAGACAACAGCACGCCGACCTACCACAGAACGGCGACCGAGCACACTCAACCCAGGGCGAAAACATACTCTGTGTACGATCCATTTCAAAAATTTATATAATCCGCCAACATTGATTACTTAAAGAGCAACAACATCCTGTCTCTTAATTGCGGTGGCATCCCATTAACACTGCTCAGGTCAAAGGGCTACCAACAATTTACGAGAGGAATTGACGAAAATATCAAGAGGTATCACTTCTCTTGCCTGAAAGATCTTACCCAGGTTGTGAGGATGACAGTCCGCATCAGCTAGCACTGACGTGGCTAACGCCGAAACTGACATGAGTGTGTTATCCAGGACACTTCAACCAATACCTTCCATGAGCTCTTGAAGGAGTGTCCCAGAACGTGACCATGGTAATGCAGTGATAAAACTGGCGGAAGTGGGTCAGCAGGCAACAATTCCAGTAATGCGAGCGGCGCTTGAATGCGCTCCAGGTGCTAGAAGAGAGTGGTGTTTATCACGAGCATCTCAACGGAGGCATTCACAATGCCCATAAGACGAGGTAAGGAGGGAGAGTTACAACGAGGCAAGGAATGATAAGAAGAGGGTCGCGAGTGTGAACATGACGCTGGGAACAGGTGCGGGGGTACCATGCTCTGAATGACTTGAGCGAATGAACTAAAATGGATCGGTCTCAAAACTGGACCTCTGATGGGTGAAAGTCCCCCAAAGTTACGCTTGAACGTAAGCAGATACTCGAGAGTTCATTGTGTCCTTTTGCTCAACTCAAAAAGCATGTTACGTTAGAATCTGTGCCGAGGGAGCTTTTGACAAAAAAAGGCTGCTGCGAGAATCTTGCGAATTATTTCCGGAAGGAAACGTATGATGTTGGCATAATTCTGAAGGCAATCAGCACATACTACCTGTACACGCTATTTTTGGTCTCAGCTATCGTTCGTGTGGTCCCTCCTCTGCCTCAGCCTTCTCCATAAAGTCCTCTTGCCTCTGCTCGTCAGTAACATATGCCATCTCATTTTCAGTATTAGAACGAGTTTCTTCCAACATAGCGTAAAGGCAATAGGGAAGACAGTGGGTGATAACAACACGCCCATCAGCAAGTAAACCCATACCAAACTGACGCCGATGTGGAAGAGAACAATGGCCAGGACACCCATAACGCAGGCGAACCGGAGGGTGGTATAATGTGACATGCGCATCAGATCACGGCCATTGGCTTTGGGAGTGACATATGGGCGGTAAATATCGTAAGTGCAGGTCGACGACACGGCACCCAGCTCGGCGGACGCCGATGATACCGCGGATGTCAACCGGAAAGGTGACTCTAAAACAAGATTGATATAGTTCGTAGTCAGAGTTCATTGGTAAGTGATATTGAATGCTTGTATCCCGGCTTCTCTGATTCGCTTGGCTGCTTGCAATGATGCTACGGCCGTTTGGTGGACAATGCCCTGGTCGTGCCAAAGGCGGAGCAGTAGTCTACACAGGCAAATGAGGTTCTGCTCCACTGCATGCTCCACTGTTGCTCGCCATACGGGGCTAGGCTTTCAGCGATCGGTCCAACCATCCCTTCTCCTGTCCAGGTCGAAGGTTATGGTTGATACCCGAGAGCATCTACCCCAAGGGTGTAGGTCGAGGTAGGTTTGTCGTTTGTGAAGACCAAACTGGCCAGATTCAGTTAATCACTTCATCTCCGCGGATGTGATTCGAAAATGACCTCCGCGGAGATGACCTGTAAATGACATCCGCGGAGATGACTTAAATGAGTCCGAAACCCAAATTCCCAGGGTAGTCGTCGGTTGACAATTCAGCAGTTGCAGTATAACTCCACAATTAGCACTCTCTACTCTCTCCGCCACGCCTTTTGCGCTTTCTGTCATCATGTCGATTCCCTTGAGCATATTGTACCAGTACCTCCTCAATCATAACGGCTCGCTGTCGCTGGAAGGATGGGTGGAATCCGTCGCCTCAGGCATAGGTGCTGATATGTTCGTGGCACACAGCGCCTCGACCCGACGTAGCCAGTTTTTGAGATGCATGACAGAAATCCCGCAGCACCCTACTTACTTGGATTTGAAGGATGTTCTTCCCCAAGCACAAATAGAGATTTGGCAGTGCCGCCTCCTCGAAGTCAAGAAGGAACTCGCAGAAGAAACGGCCTTTGGCGTGTACTATGCACGCCATGAGTGGAAGGATACCACTACGGCGGCAGCACGGAAAGCAGCCCGGGTGGGTGTGCAAACCGGTGCGCTAGACGCCGCCCATAGCAGCACGAAGACCAGTGATGCCGCCCATGCCGATAAGGACGCTCCAGTGTCGCTCCGTGTCGTTGATACCATCCACACAATCGATACACAAACAACGGATGGTTCGCAGTCAGAGTAAGCCGTTGCAGCCGATCTCTGTGGAATGAACAAATTGCTGATTAGCTATTTCCAGATACGTAGATAGCGAAGCGGCCGCCAGTTCAGATGAGGTCAGCGAGAGACCTGAAGCAGCGCAGTCACACTTGCATGCACAATTTGCTAAGCTGAGCAGGACACTCCTCCCTTCCGGTCGGGCCTTGGAAGAAATCGTCCTTGACGTGGCCCTCGAAAGTGAGACAGAAAGGTTCAGTGAAGACATCCTAGGTCCCGCTTCTGTTATTCCATCGCTGACAGCCCCTGTATAACACTACCAACAGCCCGTTCCACTCCTTCATATGTGACATCGATGAAATTGAATCGATGAAAGAGCAGAACCCTCACCTGTGGGAGAATATCATGCCTGAAGATGACATGCACTACGTTCGCTCCCTATGGATGGAGCGAGGACCAAGTGCACGATTGTTCGGGCTTGATTCGCATGCCATATTCACAACACCGGCATTAAAGGTGTGCGCGGACCTATTGAAGAAATTGCAAGAGGTATCGTCAGCATTTCAGCTATGTTCTCCTATCTTCCTGAATCAACGCCTCATGCATGCATTTTGTTAGCGTTACGATAATGGTGAGAGGGCACAAGCCATGCGCATGTACCTTCTTGCATATCCGGCAAGCGAGGAGGTCCAGCAGCTGGGCGACGAAGCAGAACTCTTCTCTGGCCTAATGGAAGTCCTTCTGCTTCGTCGCCCAGCTGCTGGACCTCCTCGCTTGCCGAACTCTTGGCTCAAAGCCCAATGGGGAACCAAGCGGGAAGCCGACATCATGAGGCGCTGTGACAGGTTGTTTGATGCGTTGCAGCCGACCTGCGTTGTCACAAGCACGGCAGAGGAACCTTGTGATGCAAGCAAAGAGCGAAAGCTCTTAACCGGTGGCAGTGAAGCATCCAACGTCCGAGGGCGTAAAGCCGATAAATTGTGGGTAACAACAGAAGGTGACGGTCTGGTGTGGATGGAGGCCAAAAAGGGTACTTTCGCGGAGAACCATCACGAAGCTTTGCATGCCGTTTTGACGGCAACAAAGGGAGCAAAAGACTTGATGGATAGCATCCGTCGGCACCGGCAAAAGGATGTCGAAACCTGGAGCTCCATTCAATTAGGCACTCATTGGCATTTGCGCTCTCAAATCTGCCTGGAGAGCGGACTCATAGTGGCCGGAAATACATTCACACATCTACGACTGCCGACAAGTTACGAGGGTATGCCCATGCTCTTAGAGCTGTGCCGTGTGGTACTTCTGTGGGGAGTACGTATGCAATGAACAAGTCCAAGCAGAGAGTAAAAGCTAATAACAGCCCATCTTTTTATGCAGTTGGCGTTGGATGAGACCGCACGCGAACTGGCTCGTCCACTGCCCATCGGGACGCCGAAAAAAAAGCGGCCAGTTCTTTCGACGTTTCCCACACCGGAGAAACCGTCAAGTGCAAAGAGGTAGTGTTGTCCAATTGTCGTTGACATCCACCTGCATTGCTGAAGGAACGAACGTCCAATTTAGAGCGAGGAAAGCCGACGCCAAAGAGTAGATACCGCAACGAAACTTGCAGGATAGAATCCAGTGGGAAACAAGTCGTAGATCTAGAATGTAGGTCGATGGTAGCAGATGCATTCAAATTCATTATACGTAGACTTGATTGAAATTTCAATGTTTCGTGCCTTTCGGAGGAGATGACTAAGCTCGAATCACATGACGTTTAATGACCACTAGCCCTAACCCCAAGGCGACGCGTCCCACCAGGGCCAGTAATATAAATAGAGGTCCCCCCCTGTTCCTCGTTCTCCTCCTCGCTTTCTCCCAACAATCAATGGACATGATGAGAGTGGAGCAGAAAACGACATACTGCCAGGCTGACCTACCGGGGCATTTTTCAAAAGATGTTTGAGGATTCGCCCTGTCGCTACGCCCGACAGATCAGCTGCGGTCCATGGTGTCGTCTGTGCACAATGTCGGTCAGGACAGC